AACTAAAACAAGGAAAACTGGGTAAACAGGGGACAGGGAGCAAAAGACAAGGAACCAACTGAAATACAAAAACACCTAAAACAGGAAAGCACTGATAACCAGTAACACTATGGAAAACAAACAAAAAACCAAACAAAACAGACGAGGCTTGTTCTCAGCCAGCACTGAACCCACAATTCATAAATTCACAATATGAGCTCCACTGACCTATGCGGCAGTCTGGGGAGCAGGCAAAGTGTGGGTGATGTGGAGGAAGACAAGATGGCCAAACGGGAGTGAGACATGAAAGGTAGGGTTGGATGGGTGCTGACCCTGACATATAGCACTACTGACAAATACTCCTATATGAAAACAAACAAGAAGGTGATGTTCTACATAGCTGTTGAAGGTTTTCTCTTTGTTGGACCAGCAGGTGGCAGCAAAGCACTCAGCAGTACAAAGCACTGGCTGTACAGGCTTTCAGCAGAAAATCCAACACTGCAGATCAACCTCTCCGTGTTTAACTGACTCTCATGGTGTGACTGTATAGACTGAGCAGGGCCGTGTGAGAGATACCTCACTGCAGTTAGCATAACCTTTTATTTTATAGCTCTTCTGACTCATTCTGCTCCACAAAGGTCACCCCCATCCCAGCTTCCTCTGACCCTGGGAGATTCAAGCACAGAAAATGACAGCAACATAAACTGAAACACTCCTGAAATATAAAGATACATTTCATACAAACACAGCATAACCCTGCAGATACAGCCTTGGGGTTTGTTCATTTATTTACACCAATAGCATGTGTATGCTAATCATTTTAACAGGATCAGTGAGCTTGTATATCTCATCACAATTCCATAAGACCCATGGTTTGTATTGGCCCCTCCCTCTCTTCTCTCAGATTGAATTCCCTCTTTCTGTAGGTCCTCCAGTACAGCTGAATGGCGATGATGGTGCAAATCAGATAAAACACACCAGTCCCAGCTTTCAGTGCAGCATCCAGAATCTGCTCCCACCTGTCAGACATATAATACATCAGTGTGTCTGTCAGTCACACGTATCACATTTAAACCTGAAGGACTATGCAGTGAATCTACTCTGACAGAATTATAACCATCTTGATGATCAGCAGCAGCACCAATAAGCCCAGTCCTACATACAGAGCCAGCTGGAATAAGAGGGTGGATTTGAACAGCAAAGTCTTACATGCTTTACAGTAACACAGTACAGGCACATCTGTACTGTTCTGCTTATTAAAATCCATCTTCCAAATATTTATCCAGAACATGGTCACAAGAGAGCCTGCAGTCTGGCAGCATAGGGCACAAGGGTCACTCTGCATGGGATGCCGTCTCAAGAGTAATAAAATTAACAAAAAATATCAAATGCAATACACTTATTTCCATAAATTAAATGGTAGTTTCCCATTACTGTCTGATCAGGTAAATGCTGCTAGCTGGACCCGCCCACACTACTGTAAATGCTGTTTAATGCTTACCTCAGTTTTTCATTATTCTCTCCTTCTTCGTCATGTGCTGGAAAAGGATAGCAATGGAAACAGGAGAAAGGATTGTTCATTCATTCATTTTCCATACCTGCTTATCCCATGCAAGGTTGTAGGGGGTCTGGAGCCTATCACAATGGGCACAAGGCAGGGAACAACCCAAGATGGGATGCCAACCAATCACAGGGCAGGATAGTTTATTAGAAAACAAACTTTATTTGGTCAGTCAGTAAAAACTCTTAAGAAAAGGTCATTTCTAAAACTCAAATAATGAAAAATGCTCAACAGAGTAGCTGATTGGATGCAGAATAATAAATTAGGGTTATGTCCAAAGTGTTCATATCCCAGGGCACTGAAAGTCGACAAGTGAGGATGAATTATTTCAATAAAATATGATCATGTATTTATGGTGGAACTATGATGTTGACGGAAGTCAGGTCAGGTCAGGTTGCGGAGCATGCACTGGAGCATGCACTGGTACAGAGCGTTGTCGCGTCCACCATATGATGAAACTGATCCCAGCTGGCGAATCCCCTAGCCAGTACGTGGTCCAGTACCACCCTGCAGAAGTGCCCATTTATCTACCACAGCCTGGTGTTATGTGGGTGTCCCCTTAGCCTGGTCCAGTCACTTGGGTCCTCAGCAATGAGGATCCTGTCAGCCAGATTGTCACGCCCACACCTACGACCACGCCCACGTAGGCGTGGCGATCCAGCTGCAAGCAATCCGATTGCTGTCAAAAGGTGATCACTGCTTTGTACTAATCGCAAAGTATTGTTGCCATCCCAGGTGAGCCTTGCTGAGGGTATAACCTTTGTCTCCTGTTTCCTTTCCCTATCCCTGCCATCCTGCCTGCTGCCCTGCCTACCCACCTGCCTGCCGCCCCTGCCCATCTCATCATCCTGTGTCTCCCGCTTCCCTACATGGAGTGTTGGTGTAGGACTGACCATCTCGGCTTATTACCTGTCCACTCCGTCCCTGACCATGCTTCTGCCTTGTCCTTTGAATTTTGTACGCCAGCATTTAATAAAGACCGTCTCTGGCACTTCGGGTCCAGTGTTCTGTTTCCTCCACGATCCTGACAGAGATCACCCTCAGGGAATCGCGCCACATGGCCATACTGCCGTAACTGACACTCCCTCACAATGCAGGTAATGTGCCTCATTCCAGACTCCTCTAGAAACCGCTCATTCGATACAAACCAGTACATACAGATGAAAAATTGTATGGGGAAAAAATCTTTAATTAGGCTACTACAAAGATACAGAATGTTCTGTTGCACCTCGTCTGTACACTTTGTGTTAAGCGTTTTTGAGGCATTTTGCAGTTCCAGTGGAATATCTTCCAAGCAGTGGATGCTTAAAATGCCCACAGTGTTTCTCCCACTGGCAACAGCATCAGTTACACTCCGCGGCGATCGCAGACCCTCATGTATCACAAGCTGTAGTGAGTGCGAAAAATGGGACAACATTTTAAAATTAATTTGAGAAAGCACTTTGTTAGACAGCGTGTAGTTAGAATACGGAATAGTCTCCCTGCTAGTGTAGCGCAAGCTAAAACCCTGGGTTCCTTTAAATCAGAGCTAGATAAGATTTTAACAACTCTGAGCTATTAGTTAAGTTCTCCCCAAATGAGCTTGATGGGCCAAATGGCCTCCTCTTGGTAGTAAATTCCATTGCATTTTTCGTATTACTTGTGTTGTGTTGCACAATTGTGCACACTTTGTTTAGTGGGATTCTCCACTAAACGCTACTCCCTCCTCTCAGTTCTTTGTTTTCACAATGACTGCAAATCGCTGTGCTATTAGTTCCTTTTAAAAGTGAAAAATACTTCCAGATCGTCTCCCCCTTCTCTGTTGTTTTTACGCTTCTCTTGCTGCAAAGGGTATGCGCATGACGTCACAGCAGGCGGAAGTCACTGCACTCACACGCACTGAGTAGCAAAAAACCAGAGTGGCAGAGTTAGTACTCAGCTTGGATGCCACAAAGAGCTGTGGGAAAGAGCTGTCATGTGATGGATTGTACAAATAGATTTAACACGAAATAGGAGGTCTCTTTTTAGAGACTGTCAAAAGCTGAATAAGTAAGTATCGGACGTGGATTGGTCACGAATGGCCGATACCCGCTCCGTCAAATAGGTCTGGACCGGCGCTACCGATCTGAATATCTTTGGTAAAAGTATTTGTGTGTTACATCCAGTTGTTCCTGGATACTTTCATCAGCCTAAATTTCCAGCAAACACTGCACCTTTGCC